CTGTGATTCATCGCCCGTGCCCTGATGAAGTTTATTATTTTAGTAACAACATCAGTAACATGGTTGATTTTTAGCACTGACTTGCACAACACATGTTGGTGTATAATACAATGCAAAAACACCAATTTTTGATCTGCATCGATTTCTGTCACTTTATCTTGCATGCGTTTGTAAAGTCCGACATTTTTCCCTGTAAGAGTTTCAAAAGTCTGACATTTTTCCCTGTAAGATTTGGACAACCGTCTGTTGTGCCACCTGACAGTCTCTCCCATTTCAATCCCAGAGTGTCCGTGCACGCATTTACCGCTGTAAAAAGATCACTCCCTGTCGTTGTCCCTTTCATCGACCGCATTGCTGCCAGCTCCTCTGTGAGCTTGAAGTCCGTTATCCTCCGGACGAATACGAGCAGCTGGGCTGTGTTGCGGACATCACAGCTCTCGTCTAATGAGAAAAAGTCAAAACTTGCCACTTCACGTTGGAGCTGAAGCTCCAGGTTCCCCGCAATGTCCTCGATCCTCCTGGTCACGTTCGCCTGGACAGCGGGATTTGCTCAAATGCGCCTTTTTTTCAGGGCATATTAGTGCGGCAGAGTCCTCCATGCACTCTTTGACGACCTCTCCCTCCGAAAACGGCTTGCTGTTTTTAGCTATTTTGTGGGATATCACAGAGCTGGTCCTGGTTGCTGCATCCCTGGATGTGTGAAGCTTAGTAAAACAGCCTTGCTGCTTTTGCAACTTTGCTAGCAAAGCTTCGGATGTCCGTGCCCTCTCAGCATCAGACAAGTTCTTGTATTTTTCCGAGTGTTTCTTGTCGTAATGCCGACTCAAATTGTAGTCCTTAAACACGGCAATCTCCTCCCCGCAAACCAAACACACGGCTTTACCTTCGACTTCTGTAAAAAAAATACTTAGCAGTCCAATTTTTGTTGAAAATCCTGCATTCGGCATCTTTCTTTCTTTCTTTCTTTTTTTTTTTTTTTGCGTGAGCGGACATTTCTGGGGCTACAATCACCATGTCAACCGCAGGCACTTGTTGCTATACGTATTGCGTCATTGTGCACGCAAAAACAACTTCAAAATAAAAGCAAAGCAGCCTTAGCCCATGCATGAGGTAAAATGAGAAAATACATTTATTTTGTAATTTCCAATTAACCTTACGCGGGCCGGTCAAAGTCAACCAAAGGGCCGTATGTGGCCCGCGGGCCGTAAAATGCCCAGGTCTGACCCAGTCTGTCCCAGGTTGTGGAGATGGGGCGCCTGTGGTGTGGTGGTACGGTCAGCCTCAACCTGTAACGAGAACTGAGAGACAAGACTATGCAACAAGTTATAATATGACCTTGAGTCAAGGGAGTCAGTCAGGTCGGCAGTCAATGGTAATTTTGTGGCAGGTCCTGGGAAAGGCCGTCCAGTCTGTAGTTCAAAGGGAGTGAACCTTGTGGTTTTGTTAACTGAGCTCCGTATGGACATCAGAGCGAGAGGCAAAGCTTCTAACCAAGTTAATTTGGTCTGTGCACAGATTTTAGCCAATTTGACCTTTAGCGTTTGATTCATCCTCTCCACTTTCCCCTGGGATTGGAGATGATACACTGAACCAAACTTGTGTTTCAGACCCAGCATGGTTTCAACCTCTTGTAGATCCTTGTTCTTAAAATGTGACCCATTGTCTGATCTGATTTTTTCCGGGAACCCATGTTGGGAAATATAATGATTGATCAAACATTTGGTGACTGTTCTGCTGTCTTCTTTTTTCGCAGGCCAAGCCTCCGGCCATCCAGTATAGGCATCTACACACACTAGAAGATACCTATAGCCTTTTACCCTGTCAATCATGTCTATGAAATCTATGATTATCTCTTTTCCAGGGCATGTTGGTATTGGAAATTGACCTTGGATTGGTTTCAGGGTAGGTTTGATGCCAAACTGAGTACACTCTGTACAGGTTTTGACCAAATATCTGGCCATGTCTGTTAGGTATGGATGCCACCAGGGGGACAAATTCCTCACCATCTGTGCTACACCATCATGTCCTACTCCATGCGCTTCTTCCATTGCCGTCTGTCTAATGCCAGGTGGCAGTATGGGTCTATCATCTGGCCTTCTCCAAACGTCTGTGTTGGTTGCGCCTCTTGCCAACCACAAAGTTTTTTCTTGTGGCGAAGCTTGATCTTGCATGTCCTTGAGAGTTTCTTTTGTGATGGAGATCTTAGGGTCAATGCTTTTCTCAACAGTTACTGTCTCAACCACTAGATTATGTATAGGGAGATATTCAGCTGTTAACTTGGCTGCTCTGTCTGCCTCCTGGTTTCCCTTAGATATGAAGTCAGAGCCCTGACTATGTCCTTTGCATTTTATTACTGCCACTTCTGCTGGAAGGAATAGAGCTTCTGCTAGTTCCCTCATTTCAGACTCATGTTTTATTGGTTTCACCCCAGCTGTCACAAAGCCTGCTCTTAACCATTGCTTAAGTTCCACGTGCACGGCTCCTACAGCATAGGCTGAGTCACTGTAAATATTGACCTTTTTTCCTGTGCTCATTTTAAGAGCTGCAATGATAGCCAACACTTCTGCTCTTTGTGCTGACTGTTTTCCTTTTAGTTGTTCAGCTCCTGCAGTGGACCATTCGCCTGTAGGGAGTTGCTCTACTACTGCCCAAGCAGCTTTTAATCCATCATTGTCATCTCTATAGCAACAGCCGTCTGTAAACCAGTTCTTATCAGGGTTTTCTAGTGGGATTGCACTTAAATCTGGTCTGAGCTTTTCTTCTATTGCTGTTCTTTGTTCGCACGAATGAGGTTCCCCAGTACCCATGTGGTCTGCCATGTTTATCCCTTCATGTGTGCAGGTGATGTGTGGGGCCTCTAGGATCTTACTGATTTTTCTTTGTCTCAGCGGGGTCATGGTGAAAGCTTGTGATGTGATGTAAGCTACTACACTGTGTGTTTTCAGTACTTTCAGCGGGAAGCCCATTACAATATGTGCTGTTTTTTGTAAAATTTTTGCAAGGCCTGCTACATGTTGGGTGTCTTTTTTCCGTGTTATCTAGCATGACACTTATGTACATCAAGACTTGTCTCTGACCTCCCCCTTTTTTCTGGAACAGAACTCCATTAACATGAGTTTCTGATCCAGAAACATCAAGGAAAAACGTAGATTTGTAGTCAGCAGTAGCTAAATCACTACACTGTAAAAAAAGATTTGCTGACTCAACTTGACTCAGTCTAGTTTCCTTGTTGCTTTGACTCAGTTAAGTTTTGTCAACTATCACGATCAAGTCCAGAATACTTAATCAAAGGCGTTGAAGCAACTTAAATTAAGTTGACTTGACTATTCCTATTAAGTATACTGAACTTAAAATTATTAGTCAAAATAAAAAAATAAAAATCGATATTAAGTTGAGTTAACTTTTTTGTTTTTGTTTACCCAACTTGACTCAGTAGTTTCCTTGTTGCTGTGACTCAGTTAAGTTACATCAACTAACTAATTGTAGTTCAAGCACTTAATAAGAGCTATTGTGTCAACTTTAATCAAATTGGTTTGACTGCTCATTACAATTATAAAGAAATAAAAAACATGTTGGTTAAACTTAGTTTATTGTTGTTTTCAAACTCCTAACAAGTTGAATTGACTTATTTATATTTTTTTTTACATTTTTTGTAACAAAATAGACAAAGTCATTAACAAATTGTTTCTTAAAACATGCCCTTTTGAAAATGTTTACTCTTAAAAATAATTCAAGCCTTAACCAGAAAAGGTAAGACATTAGAAAAGCCTAATGTAACAAAGAAGTAAAATGTCCTTGCAAAGGAAAAAAAAAAAAGAAAAAAAAACATTTTTGAATAAAAATCTTTAAACAAGATGTGCAATCTCATAACAAGTCACAACAACAATTTAAACATCATTAAACATTTTTGCTGTGTCTAGTGACTAACTGCATTTTTTCGTTTCTTTTTAAAACACAGAAAAGGCTTTTTTACCTTGCTGACAGTTTCGTCTGCTGACTGCAAAACTTCATTAGAGCTGGGACGTTGATGGTGGCGTCACTAAATGGGAAGGAAGTGACACCACCATCAGCGTCACAGCTGTGAGGAGGTTTTGCAGTCAGCAGACAAAACTGTCAGCAAGGTAAAAAAGCCTTTTCTGTGTTTTAAAAAGAAAAGAAAAATGCAGTAAAAAACAACACTTGTACATTTGTCACTGAAAATTTTAAGATGTATGGTTTAGTCACCACCAAAATTAACTACTGCACACATTTCTGTGCAACCGGTTTAACAAAATCATGTTATACTCACATCTCCATCTTAAAGTGATACTTCACATTTTTTGACATGAAGTTGTATAGCTTCCTCACCACCAACATAGTGCATTAATTTACATCTCAAAAATAAATCTGCATGAATTTCCAACTTGATATTACGTGGGATATCAATTGATATTACACTCTTTGCATTGAAATCGATGCAAAATTTGCTCTGACTCCCCTCCTCCTCTAGATCCGCTGCTAGGAAAGTCACACAGCTTTATTTTTGAGATGTAAATTAATCATGCTTTCAATGGCAAATTGTTATGTGAGGCTGAAGTGCAGATACCGTACTCCAAACTAGCCGGGACTATGTTCTGGAATCACTTCTCCGGGGCAAGTCTCTGGCCAGGAGAGGGAAGGGGAAGATGTGTTAGTGTTAATGCACTATGTTGGTGGTGATGATGCTATACAACTTCATGTCAAAAAATGTGAACTATCCCTTTAAAGTCTTAAAAGTGAAAGGTTTTATGAGGATAACAAACTGAACTGAACCTTTAATACATGTTGACTTTCATTTCAGTTTTTTTCTTCAAGTCAGTCACACTGCAGCTGATGCAAACAGACGATACACTATAAAACAGTATCAGAGTTGAATGTTGGATTGAAGAACAGACTATTGAATACACAATACAGAAACCACAATAAACAACAAACTGAATTTACCATGGTGACATTACTTAACCTCCATTTCACCAGACCCAAACAAAGAAACAAACAAACAAAAAAACACCACAAATTATTTAAAGACCAAAAGTGATTGGTTCATCCCAAGCAGTTGCTTCACTTGAGAAGTGCATTTTTCAGGGAATGGACCCTGGCAGAGCATGAGTCGATCCCAAGTCCCATGAAAAGACGCTGAATTACTTCAAAAGTGTATTTCATGTCTTTGGGATAGTTGAGGTTCAGCACATACATCAGTCCCATCAGTGTCATGAAAGCATTAGGTAGGTCACGTAGGTGACGAATCACAATGTTTGCCTCAAGCACAATGGCAACATCAACAAAAAATGATGGTAGTGGTTCACTGACATCTTCTAAAACAAGAAGGATTCCTACCACTATTCCCTTGATGAGATCATCTTCAGCATCAGTTGGCTTAATGGAAAAAAAAGAACATGATACAACTTTAGGAATAGAAAAACAACTTAGAATAATTGTTCTGCAGATTATTTTGTACTGTTAACCCTTATACATCATTAGGGACATTATTGTAATTTTGGAAAATAGAGGAAGTGTTGTTTTTCCCATCTTGCTGTTAGGGGTGCAGCAGGCCATCATTGATCAGTGAGCCAAATGGATCTCTCTCTTTGGTTTGGCATGCATGCGGTCCTTTGGATCGGTCACGTGGAGGGAGGAGGTGCTACACAGCACAGCAATAGCATTATTAGTATAACAATAATAATAATAATAAATATTATTATTATTATTATTATTATTCATGATCCATTTACCGTATTTTCCGCACTATAAGGTGCACTTAAAAACCTTTGATCTTCCCCTGAACCGGAAGTGCGCCTTTTATGCGGACGTGAGTGAGGCCAGCCACATCTTTTTTTTTTTTATAAATCTTTATTACTATCAATATCAAACAGTACCGTACAGTAATTTAAGGCCAGCCACATCTGCGTCCGCAGGAAAACGAAGAGCCGGCCCATAGCACCGCCCACCCTCACCAAATAAGGTGTGGCACTGCTCCACGCAGTTATACCGGTAACTATGGCACCAACAAAGAGACAGGCTTATGAGGCAGAGTTCAAGCTCAAAGCCATCGCTCACGCCGTTGAGCATGGAAACAGAGCAGCAGCGAGAGAATAACATTAACGAGTCGATGGTCCGCAAGTGTAGAAAGATGGGAGACCAGCTGCTGCTGAAACACCACAGAAGCCCCCTCAAAAAGGAAAACAAAAACTCTTCGGATTTACACGATTCACGTGAACACACCATTTGGCTTTAAAAATGGCGATTTTCGCCAAAAAGCTACAAGTTTGCACGTATGTATTAGACAATTTTATGATCATTAAAATTTTCAAAAGTTTGTGAGGTTGTGCCGGCAGTTGGGTTTGTGCTGTAAAGCCGTTCCGCGTTATAATTTCTGTTGTAAAGTACTCCACAAAGACATAAATAGCTGCGTCGCAACCGCAGATAGGACTGGCGCCTCGGTGCTTCTGGGATGCGTCGCAGCACTCCCTGTGTGCCCACTTCCATTAATTATAATGGGTTCTATTTAAAATCACAGTGTGGGCGCGACGTACTACGGCACGTCCGCCTCCAGTGTGCCCCACGCTTTAGGCTCCCAATTCACATAACACACCAGCATGTGAATGTGTGTGTGTGAATGGGTGGTTGACTGATTGCGTTGCTTGGGGGGAGGGGTGGTTGTAGAACCCTAGAAAGTGCTATACAAATACAAGTCATTTACCATTTACCAATTATGATCAGAAAAAAATTGACATGTTCCTATTAAATATGTATTCATGTATGCATTTAAATCACAAATGTTTCTTACCTCACATATCTTCAAGAGTGTGAAAGGATTTTCTTTCATGTACCATGGCAGGCCCAGCAACACAGCAGTCCTTTTTCTTAGGTTTGATGGCTGTGAAAAAGAAAGATATTTATATTTGTATTACTTCTTTATTTCAACTAGTATCTGAATGCAGTTTAAAGTTTCCTCTTATTCAAATGAAACGATTTCACTTTAGTGCTGCCACGATTAGTCAACGCATCACAACGACAAACAAAATGGTCAACAATAAATTTAATAGTGCACACGTCGCTTTTTCTATGAGCATTCTTTAAATCTTGCCTGCTCTAGGCACATACGCAGTAGTAGTCATCTGGGTCAGCCCATACTTGCCAACCCTCCCGATTTTCCTGGAAGTCTCCCGATTTTCAGTGCCCCTCCCGGAAATCTCCCGGGGCCGGGAGTTATTTACTGTAATATACTTATTACAGTTAAAAAAATAAAAGCGTTTCTCCTTTTCAACGGATGAGTATGTTACAAAGCCAAACACATGCACATTGTAGCAAGCTAACATGCTGACCGAGGCCTTTTTGAACATGTTGGCTTCCTGGTTCTAAAAGCTATACTTTTATTAATGACACGATTAGTCGACAAATCGTCAACAAAACTGGCGATTTGTCTACTATTAAAATAGTTGTTTGTGGCAGCCCTGTTTCTCTTTAAAAAAAAATTAAGAATTAGGACTATGTTCCGTGTCAATGCAATTTAACTTACATCGTTGTCGAGACTCTCCAGCAAAGACATCAACTCCTTGTTTCCCTCAAAACGCTTTGACCTATACAGCAGAAGCAGTTTCTGGAGATTGCCATCTAGGCCCTCATAGAAAGAATTGATGTCCACTGACATCAGACGTGTGAATTCCTTGACAATCTTTAGGGAGATGACAAATAAAAAAAATGTAAAAGGGTTATAAAATACATTTTAAAATGGTAACTATATATACATTTAGATAGCAATAACCTAAAACACACCTGTCTTTCAGTAAAAAGGGCAGACCATCTGGCTTTCATTTCCACTACAGGTGGCTCTTCTTCTACTATCTCCTTTCTTCTCAGAGCAAATGTGGCATTCATGCCACTGTCAATGAAATCCAAGTTTGGCTTTGCTTTCGCCATTTCTTGGGAAAGCATCATTCGCTCCTCATCCAGTTTTTTTATATCTCTCCCTTGGGGAAGGTCTGGTAGAAAGTTTGTTTCCGACCTTCTGGGTTTTTTTACTTTGTTTCTTCTTCCTCGTGTATCCCCTGAACCTCTCTTATCAGAGTTTATCTTCAGTTCCTGACAGCCAGCATCTCTTAGCTTCTGCCTGTAATTGCCCATCTTAAATTTTAGACTTATTTTCCATCCATACCATCCTGATGTGGAACCTGGTTCTTTGAGGCAAGGGTGTTTTTCAACAAGGCTGTGGGCTGCTTTTTCAAAGTCTTCATTTGCAGGGTATGCCTTAAACGAAAACATTTTTTCTGCCATCTTATCCAGGATTTCAGACTTCATATCTTTTGAAAGAGTTAAAAGTTTTCCATGGGATTCAAAAATTTCATTTCCCTGCCTAAGCCTAAGTTCTACATCAAATGAAAAGGTGGGAACTGGAAATACTGTTGGCCACTGCTGAGAACGTCCTGAAAAAGAAACTGATTGGCCGCTACTTGTGGATGTGGAGGAGGAAGCTGACAATGTTAAATCAGAACTACAAGAGTCCAAATATGGCTCAGCGGAATCAGGGCAAAAGATGACTTTCAGTGTTGCCTTGTCCTTTGAAAGATCATCAACACATGTCAGGTTACAAAAGTCTTTAAAGTCTGTGTCTTCATATTGAAGGTCAAAACACTGGTTCAGCTGCAGTTTGTTTTTTACATCCAGCTTAAGGTCTTCAACTGATTTAGGAACAGAATCCAGTCTTATCTTTCTGATGTCCTGAGGTGAAAGTATGACACGCAGCAGCATCTCTTTTGAGGCACCACCTTTGTTTTCTGTGAAGTATGCAAAAACACAAAAATTATTTAATGACAAGCTTTTGCTTTCTAAAATGTAGAGTAAGAAATCCTGGAAATTTTATTGCAGGGTACAATAATTTGTAAGTGATTTTGAAATGAAAACTAAATTATTCAAAAAGAAAAGGTCACAAATCTAACAAAGCAGCAGCACAGCGATGAGAACATTCAAATAAGCTAGAAACATACACAAGCACATTCAATGTAGAAAAATAAAATCTGAAAATATTCCAGAAGGGTAGGGCTGCTCAATTTTTTATCTCAATTATAGGGATGTAACGATGCTCCGAAAATCAATTTGAAATACGTGAAAAGTAGTTTAAATATCCATCGTTGTAGAAAAAAAGGAAAACTGATTTACAACGACCACATATATTACATTTATTATTATTATTATTATTTATTATAAAGTGTGGGTAAGAATACTTTTGTAAGGCACTTAAGCCATGCAACACTGACTTGCCCAAACTAAACATACAAAGCAGTTCAATTCTACCTTAATGAAGTAGGAAGGCTTTTGGTGTCACGATCACTTTTCCTGCTCGTGTGTATGGATACAAAGGTTGAAATCCATTTAGTTCATGTGGTTCTACAATCTGAAGCACAGAAGGCTGCTTTTCCACAAGCTCATAGCTCTGCAGGTGCTCCAAGTACCACACGTGATATGGTGCAATGATGAATGACACTTTCCCATCTATTATCGCAATTTTCAACAACTTCCCAAAGTCTGGTAATCCACTTGTGTGCCCCTTGGACAAAAACATTCCCTCAGAATACTTTGTGCCTTTTACAGAAGCATGGGTTGCTAGAGAAACAAATGTAATATCTCCATATTTCAAAATTAATGCCTGTTTCATATTGTCTTTCAGAGTTTTAGGGGAAACAAGTGAACAACGTTGAACTTCCAGATCAGGTTTAAAAAGACTAGGCAGATTGAGATAGTAGGCTAATGTGAGTTGCTGTTTTGTTGCCAAAGTTAGCAAAATGTTTTTGAAATTGTGAGAGGTATGGATAACCCTTTTAAAAAAACTGTGTTTTGCCTCAAACCTAATGGTCCAAAAATCCACAACAGGCCCAAATCTTCTAATTAGGTCTGGGTAATGTTCTAAGTAATGGTGTTTTGGCAAGAGGTGAAAATCTGGAAATACCTCTTTCAACAGACACCTGTGATCTGAAATTTTACACCCCAGGTATGACAATGACTCTTCTGAAAAGTAACAGCTAGCCAAAAGTTCCACTATTTCTTTCAAATCCAGAATAATTTGCCAGGTTTTGTCATTTTCAGGTATAAGATGACCAATCATTAATGGAAGCAGCCGTAAAAGCGTCCAGTTTTCATGACAGTTTCCACTGATGGAATTTTTCTGAGCAAAAGATTGTGATATTGGTTTTGGTCTATTTATTTTATCTGTAAACTTGAATGGGAAAGATTCAATGATGGAATTCAAATGATCTAATGTAAAGTACTGCTTTGATATAAGATTTTTCAGACACAAGCCTAATTCTTTAGGAAGAATACCTTCAAAAACATCATGCATAAAATCAGGAGGAAATCCTTGGATGGAGTGAAAATATGAAAGTAGGTTGAGAACACAGTCTCTTTTTACTCCATTAACTACATCTAACTGCTGACTTTTCAACTTCTGTAAATCACTTTCGTAGGTCTCAACTGTTCGCAGAGGGAACACTCTGTCCTTGACCTCAAATGTGTCAATATCTTGCCGGCTAGCTAAGCAAAAGCGGCAAAATTTGTCAACATTAAAACTTTCTTGGAAACCAGCTAAAGAGTGAGCCCCTAAGTTGTCTGCTGACACATAAAGCACAGTTCCTCTTATAGTTGTTCCCAGTCTCTGAATGTACACACCTTGTTGTTCAAGTATTTGCAAGTCTTTAATCAGTGGTTGTAGAACTGCATCATATCCATGTTTTTTAACATCACTACTGTGACACAGACAAGCAAGATAGATTGACTGCACAGATGACCTGCAATCCAAAGGCAAATTTGACAAGACCCAGTATACAGCGCAGACTTTGTGGATTTTTTTGGATGTCCCTAGTGGGTTACAGGTTTCAAACTCATCTATATAAAGGCCCAGAGCAATTCGTAGATCTTCAGATGTAAAGAAAGTATTGTCTTTGTAATATGAACTGTCCCTGTATGTTTTATACTGGCAGTAGTGGCCCTTGGTTCCGCTGTGCTCAGCTTCAATAATTTTATCTAACACATCATTACGATTTAGTAATTCAGACAGCACTTTTAAAATTGGAATATATGCAAATTTACGATGCAAATGGGCATCTAAAATATATTCTACTGCCTCAATTACTTTAAAATGGGTCTTGTAGTATGTTGTTCTTTTGTAATCGGAGCAAAAAGGGCCGTTCCTTGACAGAAAGCTTAAAGGGTTAGCTTTTTTAACAATCTCTGTTATAGCTGCAGTGACAGAACTATTAACAACACAATTATGTTTGGTTATAACATTTTCAATAAGTTTTGGGGTGAACTCTTCTAAAACTAAATTTAAATTTGTTAGCTCATTTATTATTTCCTGAGTAGTTGCCTTTGAAACATGTAAAATTGTTTGCATACGCAGTAGGAGGGAGGCAAATTGGTGCTGAAGTAAATCACTTAGATCCTGATCATTTAATGGCTCTTCAGTTGTTAACGCATGAGAATCTGACTCTATCTGTAATTCATTTTGAAAGCCCACATTAACCAAAGCGCAATTCCTATGCAAGTTTGAACGAAATTTTTCTACAGAACACTGTTGATGCTTCTTACATTTATGCGCACGAAAAGTGCTATACACATTTGACTGAAAATCACAGTCTATGAAAGGGCATTTCACAGTTTCTTTGTGGTTTAAGTGTTTTTTTAAATGTGCAAAATATTCTGTAATTGTGCAAGTCTCTGAAAAGCAGCAAAGTTCACAAATCAAATTTAAAGTAGCTGGATTTTCAGAGGAAGAACAGCTGTGATCTCTAGCTAAATGTTTCCTAAGGGAAGATTCAGTCCTGAAGGAGCACACACAGTCTGCATAAAGACATGGAAGAGGAAAATGTCTTGCCTGAGTACAATGCTTCAATTTATAATGGGTGATTAATGTGCGACGGTTTGGTGAGGAGAAACTACAGCACTTGCAGAACCATCTCATGAAGACCAACACCCAGAGACAGCCAAAATGAGTGGTGAAACCTGAAATAGACAAAATAATAAAAGGGAATCATCAATAATGAACAAACCTAGGAGTTAAAACAGTATTAAATGTTATATAGGTTCTAGCATTTGCATGCAACCACTAACTTCAGTAAACATACACATAACCATGCATGTAAGAGAAGGCAGACCTGATTAGGTTTATATTAATTAAGTTAAATGATTCAGTTGCTTTGGGATGGGGAATTATGTGGCTACCATGACTGGGTCAGCCTCTAAAAATGTTCTAGTAAATTATTTTACATTATTCACATGCTCAACAAAAATAAAAATATAACCTGAGATGCACAATACAGGCAATCATAAGTGTAAGCTTTATAATATTCTTTGCAACAAGAATAAAGTGCTCAGTTAATGTTCTTGTGTTTAAATATTTGTACTGGTGTTTAGTTCTTTTCATATTATCTCTTTCTCTCACTCACACACAGACGCGCGCGCGGACACAAACACGAGCCATCCTTCCTTCTCTGCAGCTCAGCAGTGCTCAGTGGTCTTCAACAAGCCCAAGAAAAAATAACTACACCCATGCGCGCGTGCCGCTTCTTAACGGTACACTATGGAGAAATATGTCCGGTACACGGTGTCTAGTTTGAGGCGCGAGTTCATAATCCCATCCTCTATTGTGCGGTCAGCTACACCGAACCGGACTCAGCCCGCTCCAAGTATGGCATATCAAACCCTAACCATCTCGGATGGAGAGGGAAAGGGTCAGCAGGCGAGCGGGATGAGAAAAGGGGTTACTCAAGCGGGAGAATGGAGTGTCAGCTAGCTTAACCGCACTGAGAGCGGGAAACCGCAGGCGAACGAGTGAGAGGAGAAAATGGGTTTTTAATGCTGTAAAACTCAAAGTTTTACATTTTCCCCCGAAATTTTCATAAAATCGATCGGACGAACAGGCAGACAATACCAACTTTTTTACCGCACTGCAAAAACCAACCTGCTTAATACTAGACAAATACACTTTTTTAAAGTCAATAATAACTAAAAACAAGTTAAATTATCTGCCAGTGCAGTGAGTGAATTTTTCTTAGTAAGATTTCTTGAAATAAGAATAATATCTAGACTTAAACAAAGCTAAAAGTAAGTGTTTTACACTTATTCTAGGCAACACACAAGACAATTAAATCTTGAAATAAGCCTTACATGCCTATTTCAGGCAATGAAAATTACAATAGAATCTTAAAATAAGCTGTTACCAGTTGTTCTAAGCAAAAAACTGTGGAAGTTAAATCTGCAAATAAGCATAAAACACTTACTCTAAGGAACAAATAAGGCAAATAATCTAAAAACTAGTAAATTTAATAATTTTTTCCTGCTTTTTACCCTTAAATTTAGCAAATAAATCCTAAAAGTAGAGCTATAAGATTATATTTCTCATTATGGACTAAATATAATAAAACTGAAACGGAGCAAGTGTCAAACTTTTATTTCTCCACTTTAACAATTACACACAGGTATGCAAATGAAAATGTGCCTTGTACAGGTCTGACAATTTCCTTATAACCCTCCCACTGTCCTAATGGGTGTGGCCCCACGAGGAAGTAGATCATTGAGCAGTGTGGATGGTTTATCCCTTGGGTCCATGTGGCAGGGGTGATGTGGTGCTCACTCCTCACCCCTGCCACATGGACCCAAGGGATAAACCATCCACACTGCTCAATGATCTACTTTCCTCGTGGGGCCACACCCATTAGGACAGTGGGAGGGTTAAACCTGTTTAAACATGTCAACTTTTGTTTCTACTGAGATCAAACTAAATGTAGTGTAGAGAATTACTGAAATATGCAAACATGAACAAAAATGCTGCACTTTTATGAGAGAACATGATGAAGAGTTCTGTGTTGTCCTCAACATAAAACCAAAACCAATGTTATAATAGAAACAACATGAACAATATCACAAGCATAAATCAACAGGTTTTTAGTATAACTTTCAAGGTTCATTTGGTCAGAGACATGAGATATTTCAGTAACCATCTGCAGGCCATAGATGATGGTGGATTAAACATGAGGATTTCAACATAATCCTATTGTCTGACCGACTGAACCTGGAATGTTATAGTAAAAGGCACAATAATGAATATAAAATACATTGAATGTAACTAAGTGAAAGAAAAGGGGGGATCTCTGGTCTGTGCAGCTCTTTAAATTACAGTTCCATCAGTAACTGTACCCCATAATCTCACTAAATGTACAACTACTTTCCAATAAATGCGTACCATTCGGCCAGGGCTTTTTTGTAATATGATGTAGTGTCACGCTCATGAATAGCATCCTGGAGAACTTCTGTCTGAATGACAGACAGTAGGGTTGCCACGCATTTGGGATAAGTCAGATGGAGTGTATAAAAGTATGCCATCACATAAATCATAGCCTCACCAAGTTTTTCTTTGTCAAATGTTGTAACTGGCAAATTCCCAACAGCAATAACACACTTGCATCCATCGAACATCACCACTGGACATGACAAGCTTCGTTTCTGGAGGACTGCATCTGGATCTTCTGTAGGCTGCAAGACAGACATGGCACACATTTTTAGTCATAACCTCAAAAACATTTAACCCTTTTCTTTGTTGATTACACACTTTTTGTGTTTTAACTCATGGTTTATCTGTGTCTGGCCATAAGTCCCTAGAAATAGCAGGCAACACTTATAATGTTTTTCTGGTCACTTCGAACAGCAGGAGAAACATTGAGGAAAAAAAATGGAAGAGCTTGAAAAAAAGCTACCTAAAGAATAGTCCCGGTGAAAGAGTCACATGCATGAGTGACTTTAAACTACTCCATGGATGTTTTATTTTAGAAAACAATGCTATAAAAACTTGATTTAGCATTACCCCTCCTTCATTTTGTTGTAGTGAGTCTGTAGTATATCTTTATAAAGCAAATTACACAAAACAAACCTTCAGGACATGTAGAAATGCATCAGAAGCAGTCCCCATCTTTTTGGGTGGATGGGCAGGTGAGGGAAAGAGTGTTGGAAGAGCCTTCATCAATGCAAGATGGGCTTCAGCTGTACACAGCAAAAACAAACCTGCATAAACTTACATTTAAAAGGATGAGAACTTTGTATTCAAATTTTTATGCTTACTTTTGTCCATAGTCATTGGTGGATTCATTGCCTTCTTTGACACACCATAGAATTCCACCCTGGAGCAAAATTCTTGCCATCTTTGTTTGATTTGACTGACGAACTTGTTGTTGTGTGGATCCAAAATTCTGCGCAGCTCACCCAACACCTACAATATTAAACACAGATAAAAAATAAAAAAACTCAAATAACAGAGAAAATACATTTCTAATTTGATTCCAATTATGAACTCTCCCAATAGCGTACATGATGCAGTTCTTTAAAGCATGGATATGCATCCAAGATGTGGGAAGCTCTGTTCTCCTCTTTCAAGGAGTCTGAGTCAATGAAGGCTCTTCTGGAGTCAAACTCGAGGTCTAATAACTGGGACACATCTTCTTGGTTTGGTTTCGGCTTCTTGCACATTTCTTGTAATGTTCTGTAAAGTCTTGCTTGTATTTGCGGACTAACCCTGCCAGCTAAAATGGGGAGAAGTACAAGAGCATTTTATAGACTTATACATAACATTGGCTATATGGCTTGTGTGTCGATAAACATTTTAAAAAATTACATGTATGTACTCACATGAAGTGGAAGCATCAGAACTGCTTGCAGGTGATAAAAGCAGATTAGATGCACCACTGGAAGAACTGCAATCAACATCTTCATCATCAGCTTCTTTATCAGTTGGAGAGAGGTCAGTGAGTCTTCTCTTTGGCCGGCCCCTGTCTGGTGTTGGCCGTTGCTTTTTTACAGGAGTTTTAATATTTTGCAGCCTTTTTAGTAACTTTGCGTTGATGCTCTCCTGGTGACAAATGCATATATTTCATGCTTACTAAACAAAACAAAATGATTCATGGAGGAGACAAATAGACGAACTTACGTGTTTCACGCTTGCATCATTATCCTTTAGCATAGGATAATATTCCACGATTATTTTGGCCATTGCAGTGATTTCGTTCTTAGAGGGGTATCGCTCCATTTGGCCTTCGCTTGCTCTCAAAAGGGACACCATACTTGTGATTGTATTTCTCACTAGTCTGCATCTCAGTTCTTTGGACATGACACATTCATGTTCCCGGCTAACATGGGCCAAATCATAGTAACTCTTTCTGCATTGCTCCAACTCACTGTCTGTGTACACTACATATTCCGGAGGACTGGGGAGCTGCAAGGTCTTCTGCTGGCTTTTTTTAGCATCAGGACTTTGAGGCCTGGCTGTTGGAACTACCCTGGGTGAAGAATATGTTTCAGGGGTCTGTGTTACAGGACGGTCTTCCTGGTATAAGGTGAGAAAAGAAAAGTTTCAAGTAATGCAAAAATAAAAGCACACTTTCTAGAGATTTGCTGAAATAAATAGTTTTACACAATACCTCAGGGTGAATTACTGACCACACACGCTTTCTAGTGAGAAAGTGTTCAGGCCCAGGAAACAGGTCCCTCAGATCCTCGCGGCTCAAAGTTAAGAGCATGGGCTCGTCAATGCATGCAGCTAACAAAAAGACAAATGCCAGTTAAACACACACACACACACACACACACACACACACACACACATACATGTAATATGAAATCTAACCTGTAAGGATAGATACTGTTACGTGATCCAGCTTCTCCATAGCTCAATCACCTGCAAAACAAATATATTTTGTCATTTGATTAAATTTTTTGATTCCTGAATAAAACTATTGAGCCCACTTTAATAAATCTAATTAATATAAAAATAACAAAAGATTTTTTCAGGAGGATGATTAAGATGAATGTCCAGCAGACATGCTCCGCTGTTTAGCTGTAAAATGGGAAAAGGAGACTTGCTAATTTATTTAATAATCGTTCTCTAAAACTCGTGCCAGGGATGCTAAGCTAACGCTAGCATTTGTTAGCATGCTCCGTTAGACATTCCCGCCCAAATAAAAATCTATTCTGTCCGCTTGAGTTGAAAACAACAATTAGGCTGAACACTGCTTATATATAACATTTTAAAATTGCTTAACTCTCTCTTGCTTATATATCACATT